ATCATTCCAAAGAATTTGGAGTACTTTGGATACAGGAATTGGAGATATTTCTTTCGTATTTCATTCATATTCGTCATCATTAGATCCAGAGCTTGTACAGGTGTACTCTCAACTGGGATAAATTCCGCTTGTAATTCTTCACTTCCAATCAAACTAATGCTCAAAAGCTCGTGAGTGCCAATATACTTGAGCTTGGAGTTCGTCGTAGATTCAACGGGTTTTAACCACGTTTCAAAGTCAAAGTAGATGAAATATGGATAGAATCTTAATTCTCTTGGTACAATAATACCGTTCTGTTCAAGATTCTCAAACACATTGGGCTTTGGTTGATAGTTTCCATCTTCGAATACAATCTTTGGTTTCTTGCAAATATTCAGATGTGGTTTAATCTTTTTGAACTCGTTGAAGAATGAATGGCATTCAGGGTATTGAAAGACTTTGGTTAACTGAGATAGGTTGATGCTATAAGAGAAATGATGAAGGTTCTGTTCTGAATCAGTGTAAACGTTCAAACACAGTGGAATCACAGTTTTTCCTAGAATGTCGTTCCATCACAGCTTTCTTCCCGTTAAATCGGTAAATATTGATGTTTACGCTGAAATGGTCCTCAATGCTATCTAGTTCTTGGATATCCACGCCAGGATAGCTCTTGTCAGGCTTGACTTTGTAATAGTCCCTGTAAAGCTCTTTTGATTTCGTTGACAATCTATCTAATCTCACATCTTGATACTTGTGACGTGCAAGGCAAAACCAAAAACACATATTGCTTGCTACGCTTTCAAATGAAACAATACTCTTGCTGTTTTTGATGAAACCAGGCAGTTTAATGGAGGCTCCAATAGGAATGCCTTCCAACGGAGTTGTTAGCAACACATATTCGTATATTCTTTCAATGCTTCACTTTGAATTGGGCCGTTTGAGTCGTTCCACAATATCATCGCCTTCAAGTTGTTCTAGAATATCATCCACTGAATTGTTGACTAGAGGACGCTCATTTACATTGAACAATGAAGTATTCCCAGACGGATAAAACTGCATTTTCTCGTCTGTTTCCACATTTCTCAGAATGTATCCGAATTGAATGTCAAACCAATACCTCTGAGTTTGATTGTGATGATTGTTCACGATATTCCTTGTAAGTTCATCGAATTCAAGAAACAAGTGTCGTGTCGTGGATTGTTTTTGATTGTGGTTTAAATAGATATTTCTTAATATGATATCTTGTAAACAGTCTCTTCTCTTGTCCGATTCGTTTTCTTTCCTGTTTCTGAAATTTCAAAAGTTGTAAATATGCTTTTGTTCCTTCTAATCCGCTAGTAAATCCTTGAATTCGCTTTCTGAATCTGAGCTTAACTTTCTTGATTTCATTTCTCTTTCTTTTCAACAAATAGTAATCATTTCTCTTATATCTTTCCTTTTCTTTTTCTTTGTGGTCAAGAGCAAGTCGATGGTCCTTGCCTCATTCTTCATTTCAAAGTTCACTTTGTACAGTCCCACATCCCTTGTATTTTCATCCAACATTTGCTCGGTTTCATCCAACATTTGATCCATTTTCAATGAATTTGATATTCGTAAAGAAAATAAAAATTCAGTTTTTCTTAAATTACCGTGTCTCAATTTATGAATATTTATTTTGTTGCTATTTCTCAAACAAATGACTATAGAATCGTTTCTGATGAATGTGCCAAGTAAATTTGGTCCTGGCACAGATCCTAGTCAGTATCCTGTTGGAACCGTTAGAATGGGTCAGGATAGAAAACTTTACATTGTAAAAAAGATAAACAATCGACGGATTTGGATTCCTTTTCAAAGAATTTCAAGTTGAATATAGAAATTTATTTTCTTGGCAAAGATTAAAAATCAATAATGTTGGTCATTCCAAGCTGCTCTTTACGTTCCAAGTACATCCGCACCATCCCGATCAATCAAGTCATTCTAGATCCAGTAAACAAGTTGAAGTATATCATTGAAGAGAAACGCTCCAACAACAATACGCTTTCAAAGGTTGCTTCCCCATATTTTGGCGACGAAGAACCACTCGTATTGGAAGTCAGCGATGAAAGCTTGAAGATTGCTAATCCAAACCGGTTCAATCCTTCAGTTTTGATGAAAAACAGGATTGCAGAGTTGAAAGATAAAGTTGTACAATTGAACAATCATTTAAGCCCATCATCAAAGTACGAGCGAATCAAGTATTATCTTGGAGATGAAAAGTAGCATTCTGACAGCAAGTATTTATACACCGCTAGAGATGGAATCATTTACGCCGTGAAAATGAATGGTTCTTTAGAAGAAAGTGAATTGGAACTGGAAGCCTTTATCAAATCAACCTGGAAGAATCCTGATGTGTTGCACTCACTGATGTTGGGTCAGAAGCGACTACAGTCCAAATTGTTAGAGCTATTATCAAAGGAATCTATTGAAAAAGAAATAGTCTTTTAACTTGGTCGTTGAATAATTCCATTGAAAAATTCATCTTCGCTTGCGAGGGAGACAGAGTTTTCATCTTCACTATTTACTGAACTTTGTACAAATTCAACACTGCGTAAATCAACTGGTAAACTTGCCATTTCTTCTGAATATGGCAGCTCTTTCAAAGTCCTAAATGACTTTGTTGATACAATTGTTTGTACTTCGCATACTTTAGAAACAGCGTGTTTGAAATAGGCATCAACCCGAATGGAGCTTGGTGAAATGACCACTAACAACCATTTATCTTGCACTCTTATTGCTAGCAGCACCATTTCATTCAAGATGACTGCAAAGTCGGATTGGAGTTGATGAGCATTGATCAATCTGAATCCATTACATTGCCATCTCAAGTGTGACAATAGTACAAACGAACCTTTTGGTTCCTTATCGTTTCTTTCAACCCAATCCAATCGCTCGCATTGAGTAGTTATATGATTCTTGAAATCTTCTGGGTTTACTAGTTCTTGACAAAAAAGACATTTAGAAGCAGCATAAATGCAAGTATCAGTGTGATTGATCAAATCCCATTCAAATACTGTCTTTTTACATAGCAAATAAGGACAATCTACCAGATATTCACGTAAATTTCTTTCCAGTAGTTTGTTGTCGAAAAGAGTATTGTCTCTACAGGATAGGCAACTGTCTGATCTTAACTTGGCATAGCAAGAAGGTCAAACAAAGTGCAGTCCATTATTGCATTGGTAAAATGGGGGATGTGTAAATTCTAGACAGATGATGCACTTGAAATCATCTTTCTGTATTCTGTGTTGGATGATTATATCTTGAGTCTCGCTCATTTATACATAGCACAGATTTTATTATTTGATAATTAAAAATGTAAGAATGTTCCGCTCACATTTCGATAAAATAATTGAACAAGGATATAGAAAGCAACCAATTATTGCGACTGATTGCCCTAGCGAATGCATTGAATGAATTCTTGTTGATCAAATTGAGCTCTTCTGCCAAATCAGCATCATTCAGAGCAGCAACTCTTCTGGTCCAGGCTGTAATCTGTTCAGACATTTGAAGTAAACAATGGAAATTACAATTGTAAGATATTGATTTGGCTTTCAAAGTTTCCTTCTCTCTCTGCCTTCTGGGCATTATGATCACAGCCCATATATGTTAGAGGTCAGTGCCTATTCAGTTCCTTTGCTGGTGATTTCTGATACGTGCGAATGCGGGCTTCTTGTTCCCATTTGCCTTGTGTCTTCTACAAGTTACTCCCATTCACGCCGAAACACCTGCATTGTTTTTCAGCTCCTTCATATCATTAGGAGACGTTTTTATTGAAATTTCAAACGTTTGACATTTCAATATAATTTTCTCCTCTTTTTTTCTTCCTCTTTTTTACAATGTTTGCCGACGACTCATCCCAAAGCAGCGAACAACTCCAACAAACAGCAATGAGGCATCAATGACTGATACTGCAGAATACACCCCGCAGGCCAACCACCTTGCCAACTCGCCTGTGACAAAAATATTCCCAACCAATGGCCCATTTCCTGACGCTGATCCTGGAACTGAAGCAGAATTTACCAGAATGTGTGAACAACTCAAAAGACCTATTCAAATGTTGTTGAAAAAAGAGATTGTATGGAGGAAGAGGAACCCGCTTCATTTCTGGCAGTCACTCGCATTTACTCTCAGGAGTGAAGACCTCACTCGTGTTGCTGTTTCGTCTTTTGTGGATACGATGGGTCACAACAAATTATACATTGCTTCCAATGATCCAATGACCTCGGCTCAACAACAAGAAGTCACCGAAATTGTCCAGATGTTCTTGGACCTGAGGCCCGCCAACGAAATTGCAGCCAAACTCTTGCCTCGTCACTTGCCATACATTATCAAGCAGTTTGACAAGATCACACGTCTTCAACTGGAAGCCTTTGCTGCAGAATACCCTGGTGATTTATCAAGCACGGTCAAGACCTTGTCAGTCAAAAATATTTCAGGAGATGCTCTTTCATTGGATGACATCCGGCCGTTGCTGAATTTGATTGTGGAGAACAGAAAGTCCCTTCGCGCAATGAAAGACGACAGCACGATGGGCACCTCCAAAGCCGCGAAAAAAAGGCCTATCATTTGTGCAAGATGGATAAGAGTCGGAGAGGAAATCCATTTCGTTTTGAAAAAGGTTCGAAAGCACCAGCCAGATCCAGCACTCCAATCATTGTCAAGGCATTTTCAGTTTACTTCACTTGGCTGCCACGCCGAACTCGCTATTTTGAAGACTGCCAAGGATTGCTGTGCGTCAAGAACTCTCTACATTGGCGTATCAAAACGACCGTGCTACTGCTGTTCCCTATTCTTCAAGGCGGTCCAAGAGAACCAAAGTACCACTTTCGACATTTCGATTGTTACGACGCACGGCAAATTATATGGCAGGTGGAACAGGATTGAAGGCTGCTTTGACAAGGAATTCAACCAAGTCTGGGCAAAGGTGATTGAGGATATTACAGCCCGTAAAAAATATCTGACACACCAAACTGACGACAATTCCTCCGAATCAGATGATGACTATCGTCCAACAGCGGAATTGTGAGTAAAATTTTTATTCATCTTTTTCCAATATGCTGGATAGCTGATAATAGTTCAAGCGGCGGTATAGTTTTTGAATGATTGCAACCAAATCAATCAATTATTTCTCTTTAAAAGCGCTGAATGTGAATGAGTTTTGTACAAATATGTCATAAAACAATCACAATTGGTGCTCCAAGTACAACAATTACGCAAATTTCAGCTGGAAAGTAAAAACGGTATTACTCGGTGCTCTACATATACTATGCTTTGCTTCACACAGGTACAGGACATCGCCATCCTTAAAGACAGCGTCCCACTCTTGGACAATGGGTTTTCCATCTGCAGCCATAATGTCCGTTGGCATATCTACAGCTGAAGAACCAAGATGGGTAGCAAGAATTCGCAAGTTCAAGGAGTTTCAAGCCAATGCCCAGCCAGAATTTCGAAATGTCACAAAATATGCTGAGGTGTTGTGTGGTACGTTGTTTCCAGAGGATATTAGAAAGATCGCACACCTTGGATTCATTTGCGTTTATCCATCAGGATATCGTTACGATGTCAAAAAGCCGGAGGATTTCATCATTGAACGTTAATTGTTGCTTGATAATAAAAATAGTTTTACCAAATTTTGAAAATAACAACTGAGTAGTTTTGCATAGAAACAAAATATAACAAATTTCAGGCAATTAGATTCTGCTCAGATTCTAAAAGTCAAATTCAGATTCTAATTAGAAACTAAATGCGTTGAATGTCGGAAAGAATTATTTATGACGAAAGTTTGATATGAAATTATTATACTATTAACTTTTGACCATTTCAGCAGAGAATCTCGCCTAAAAACTGGTATCATCGGATGCCCTATATACTACTGACATGGCTCTTATCGATGGGGTTAAACCTGTTTTGATGGAACTGGAATTGATTGAACCATCACTATATCTATCGTATGATGATACTGCCCTCGAGAAATTTGCCAATGCAGTATTTGCTTTTTTGGAAAAACAATAATTGCTCTATACTGATTTTTTTGATAAAGATGGAGTTTGGTTTTAATGCATAAATGATCTGGGTTGGTTCTAGGCTGGTTTATCCTGTTTCGATACTATCAAGTGCTCGCCAATGCAGCTAATTCTTTGTACGAATAAAATCAAATATGTTCAACTTTACTTTTACAGTTGTATTTTCAATTAAACTCCACTCTATTGTATCCTAAACTATCAGATATTTTTCCGTTCTAGTTCAAGAGAACAAGATCGCAGGTTTCGAGAATATACTTGTTTTTATTTCAATCACCAGGATACCAGTCAACTTTGTCAGTTCAAATGACCCAATGTTGTCCAGTAAACTGGCACAACCATTTCATAAAGTTGGTTTTGTATCATGTATTTTGACATCCTTATTTAATGTTCCATTTTACGTGAATACGTCGGTGATTTAAATCCTATCAACTTGTCCAAACATTGTTTTGCAAACCCTGACAGTATTTCATAGACTACAAAGTTGCATTCACTATAATACGCTAAACCATGAATAACTTGCCATAACGGGAGTTTTACACCATTGTTGCTGGTGGTGTAGCTCTTGCTGCTAATGCCGGTTTCATCAATGTCGTCTCTATGGCAGGTTATTTCCAGGCAAGTGTTATGAACCGTGTATCTTGTCGCGCCATCTTCAGTTTGACTTGAATACATGATTGAAGTCTATCCTATCCTTGCATGTATTTCAATTCATAGTGCACAACACAATATATAGTGTTTATTTACCACTTGAATACATATTTCTTTGACCATTTTTCATATCAAATGCTCCAAACTCGCGTTAGTCTGACTCAAACTATTGATTGCTACAACACGCTTCTTGTATTCTAATGACTTGTTTTCATAATGCTATGGATTGTGTTATTGCAAAACACAACACTTTCTGATACCACAAACCAATTGGTGGCTGCTCACTAAAACCTGTTCACATTGACACAATTATCAACTGAACCTATAGGTGTGCGGTCTCTCATGTCACTGGATCGGTTTCTCGGGTTGCTATATCGGCTGTTCAGCAAGACTGGGAAACATTTCTTTTGGTCGTATCTATTATTGTATCATTTACATTTGGATCGTTTATGGCTGGATTTATAGTGGGTGACAACCGATTCAAACTTGGTGCCAATTACGGAATAACACTGTGTATAGAATCTGCTGCGTTGTTTACATCGTTTATGTTTTTGCGTCGAGAGTTGGTATTGGGCGAATGAGCTGCAGCATTTGCTTGCGGATTACAAAACGCAATGGTGACTTCTTACTCTGGGTTGGCTGTTCGCACAACACACATGACAGGAATCGCTACAGATGTAGGAAATATCTTGGGTCAAGCGTGTCGATCCGATACCAAGGCCGAGTTATGGCGTCTCAAAGTTCATGTTCCTATTCTTTTTGGGTTTATTGCAGGTGGCATGTGTGGTCAAATCGCATGGCTTTCTATTCACGAATATGCTCTCCTTGTCCCGTGTATATTCACTGGTGGTGTTGCCGCTTTGTATCTCACTTTACCGTTTATCAAAGATGCGGCAGAACAAATTAAACACGCTCTTCCTCATGAACTCCATTTTATGGACAACTATGAAGGAGATCCTCGGAAATATCAAGAGTATCATAAGGAGCAGTTGCTGAAGCAAGTAGATCACTATGCAAAAATTACTGGCAAGAATGTCGATGATGAAATTCGAAGGTTTTTGAATGATATGGTTGGAGACGATGAAATTGAAATGGGAGTATTAAATAGCGTATCCATCAGCAGTACTGGCAAAAGAGATAGTGGATCATCTAGACTGCTCAGTTCAAGACGTGGACAATCTGCATATGGAGCAACAGATGAAGATGACGACTTACCTAAACAAATAAATATTTAAATTATAATCACATGGATCGAGTTTGATTATCAATCGATTGGTTGGGCATTTCAAGTGATTAAATGGTTTATACAGTCGTATTCACGCAAAATGGATCACCCAATACGAGTGTCAATATATAATAAACTGCCAATCTCATATGATGATTTACATTGCATTTACTGTACAACATTTTCATTGAGCTTTTTTACAAGTCTCCTAGTGATTGGCATGCAGAGTTGCATTCTCAAGACTGCATGTCTTGGTTTCTTGAACTAGAACGTAAACGTATCTGATTTTAGCATACAAATGTGTGTACAGTTTGATTGCCATCAAAACAGTTTAATCTATGCATTGCAGTACATCAATCTGGTGATTGTACAACGTATGACTACCAGAAATGAACAACTATTTCAGTTCAAAACTATCGTTT